TCCCCCACCCTGCTGCCTCCAATGTCCACACAGGCTGGGAATGATGGGAGCTGTGGTCAGTCTCATCTGGAGGGCTCCAGGTTGGGGAAGGCTGCTCTGGAGTCATGCATTCACCCGTTTTGCTCTTTGTCCCTGCCCAGAATCCTGCCTTTGCCGGCCTTGTTCATCCCTGGCCCAGAACTTGCTTTCTTCGCATGTACGGTTCTGACTTCAGGGTTACCCTGGCAGAGTTGGTCTCCTGCTTACTTTCTGCGGAAAGAGTTTAGGATTAAAAGGTTTTTGCTCACACCCACCACCAGGCTACAGAGTTTTTAAAAGTTTTGTCTGCAAAAACGTTGCAATTTGTAATTTATGAGTAAAAGATCAAAGCCCATAGACCATTCAGTGCTGTTGTGACAAAGCACATCAATAAACCAATTAAAAAGAGAAAAAGGTTGCTGGCTGAAGGATACCTTCCCTGGATTTCCCTGAAATTAATTCCTCTTCTGCAACAAGCCAAACAGAAGAGAAAGAGCTTCGTCTTCCCTGCGAGTCCCAGTATTCACTCTTGAGACTCTGACACCAACCGCTCACAAAGAGGCAGTCTGCACCTGTAGGAGCACTCCTCCTCACATGGAGGCAGCCATCACCTCCTGGGCCAGTTGAGGTCGGTGGCCCCCTGGACAGTGGGCAGTGTATCCACTCCAGGTGGCAGCCTGAACTGTCAAGAACTGGCCACGGCGCAGAATCAGCACCATGGGTAGCTCCTTTCAAGTTCTGGCTGGAAACCAGAGTGGATACGCTGCCTCACCGGCCTTGCAGTCCCGGTCTCCTCTAATTCCTGCTAGTCCTCCAAGCCGGAAGGGGCAAGGATCCAACACAGAAGGGCTCACAGAAACCTGTCCAAGCACTTGGCCAATGTCCCCAAGCTGCGCCAAATGAAACTCTACCAAAAAATAGCACCAGCTGCGCTCCGGAGACCTCACTTGATTCAGTGCTGTGGAACTGGAGTCTTTTTGCCTGTGAATGCAAGAAATTTTTATCCTCCTACATATATTATCCTGCATGTTTTAACTAAGATTTCGATTCAGCTAAGAACTCCCTCAAGAGCAGGATAATTATCAGTGCTTCCTGCGTGAATAATGTGGCACGATCAGGCACCAGTTTACTCCTCGAGGAGAATTCAGGGCCCAAGAACTACCCACCAATTAGTTGGGTTCAGACGGCAGGACAGCCCTACACTCATGGGCTGAGCCTGGGTTAATAGAGAACCAAGGGGCATTGCTGGCCTGTGGGTTCTCTTATTATCTGAACCCAGCTAAGAAACCAGGATCGACAAGCCACGGTTCATTACCCAGCTAGGAAACCAGGATCGACAAGCCACGGTTCATTACCCAGCTAGGAAACCAGGATCGACAAGCCACGGTTCATTACCCCGATTTCTCTGCATTTACATGACATGCATTTCCACAACAGCAGCAAAGCGGGGTCAGTGATGCCCCACAGACCTGCTGGGGTGCGGTGCTTCGGGACCGGCCTTCTGCACAGGGTGTCTGGGCGCATCTGCACCTTTTCGGTCTCCAGAATCGGACCTGCAGCCGCAGCACTGCTTTCCTAGGTTTTTGTCACGGCCGCACGCAGTCCGGGGTGGGGCCCTGGTGAGCCTGCCTTGGGGAACTCGGGGTGGCTCACGGGCACAAAGGAAGCCAGGGCCAAATGTGTCCCAGGAGGGGAAATGTGCGGGTGCACGTCCTTCGTAGGACCTGCCCTTGTCCTCGGGACTTTGGCCCTTGTCCTCAACCTCGTCTGAGCCGCATCTGCCGTCTCCAAGTTGGAGGAAAGGGAAGGGAGAAGACCGCCCCCCCCGGGGGCCACTCCGCACTGCACCCTCCTGACTCGCTTGGCCAGCAATGCTTCACGGACCTGCTGTGAATGTTCAACCAAGAAGTGAAAAAGTCGCCAGAGGTCACCATTCGCAAACCCTTGGCCGCCTCTTGCCACTGCTTAGCAACCACATCCCATAATAACTTGGCAGTCTGAGTCCTGGGCTCCTAGGAAGCACCTCCTGACTGTTAGGACCCTGAGGGTGTGGAATGGGCTTCCACAGGAGGTGGATGAGGCCCCATCGTGGGGGGGGGATGTTCAAGGGCAGGCTGGACGTGCACATGAATTCAGTTTCATCAAAGTGTGGGGGGGATTCTAGCAGAGGCAAAGGGGCTGCCCCGAAACGAATCTCTTGCTGCCGGTGACAACGCCTCGGGAGACGCATGCCGGCCTTTCAGCACAGGGAGAAAGGCTGCAGGGACGCTGGGGCCCCGTGTTCGGGGGAGCAGGCAAGGGGACAGGAAAAGGGGTGGGGGGCCCCAGACCCGAAGCACACAAGCCACGGGCATGGAGGGGTGTGTGCAGCTGGGGGGCAGCAGATCGCCGCGACGCTGGTGGAACGGGGCAGCGAGGTGTGTGAGCTGCAGCGCTGGCCTCCCTCGCTCGGGGTGGTCAAATCCTGCACTAACCGGCCCCGGGGCTGGGGAGCATCCTGCCCTCCCCAGCTTAAGCCAGAGGCCAAAGCTCAGCTGAGATATGGTCTGGTTCGTCACAGTGTGGGTAAAAGCCTCAGCGTGGCTGTCAGCCTGGGACGGATCGCCCGGTTCAGAGTCCCCCTAAATTCCCAGAGGGCGACAGGCGCACTGACACCCTAAGGCGTCACCACTGGCCGATGCCGAGGGGGGTGGCGGGGGGTGGGGGAGGCTGCCGGAGCTACCGGCCGGCCGGCGGGCGGGCGATTCGGCTCCTGGCTCCAGCCACGCGCATGGCGCCCATGCGTTGCCGCCAGTGGCGCAACTCGGACATCTCAGAGCCGAGGCTTTGTGGGGAGGGGGCTTAGGTGGCGGGTGCAGTTAGCTCTGCGGTGCTGCAGGTAACCCCCCGCCCCCCCTCAAATCGGCTTTTGCCCTCCTGATATTTTGGACTCTGAGCGAAACAAAGCAAAACTAAACCCATTTGCAGCCCCCCTTAAAAGGAGTCACTCAGAGCATGTTCAGCTTAGCGCTGGCCTCTTAGACCCCCCCAGGATCACAGGGGCCCGGTGCAGCTTTCCCTGGAGCACCACTTGGGAGCAGCTGCGGATGCATTTACCCCGCCGTGGCTTGTGAAGGTTTCTTTTGAACATTCTCAGATTTGTAATTGCATTTGAAAAAACACTGGCTTTGAAAACGTGCGCTTTAAAATGAAATTGTTGTGCGCTTTCAAATGAACGGTTGTGGGTGCAGGTGTCACACCTTAGTGCTGGTGATGTCCCAACACTGCTGGTCCCCGTCCCCCGTCCCCCCGGATGCTTGTGAGTGAGCTCCATTTTTGCGGGCCAGAATCCTGCGTTTTAAGGAAAATCCTAAAATGAGCGTTTGCATGCCGGCCCACCTGGCCCAGGTGTAGAATACGTTTCGGATAGGAAGGGGGTGGCGATCGCAAGGGCAAAAGCCGTTCTGGCCCACCTCTTGAGCCCGGCCCGGCTTGCCCCGTCCTACCCGAGCTGCTCCCAGGGGCTCAACGAGGTGGGACTCAGGCTGGTTTATTTATTTATTTTAGGACCGGTGGGGTTTTGATGTTTGCAAACCACCCAGAGGGCCCTCTGGGCTATTGGGGTGGTACATAAATACAATCGGTCAATCGATCAATCAATCCGTTGTCCCTGAAGCACCTCCGAAAAGACTGACGAAAGGTGCATGGCACATGCCAATGTACACGTGATGGATGGAGGGGCAAATTAATAAGGGGGGACACCTAGAAAAATAAGGGCAACCGAAAGGGGCGTTCCATGTGCCCAGGAGTGACTCGGTGGCTGAGCCTCGGACAGGGCCTGCTCGGCTTCGTCTCTTCAGCCACGGCTCCGGAGGAAACTGGCATTCGCAGATGCGCCTCCTTTTCTGCAGCAGCGGGGCTGTTGGCTGATAGGGGCGGCCTGCGAGCTAATGAAGGAGCGTTGCAGTCGGCCAGATAAGAGGCGGCAGAAAGGGGCATCTTCCGAGCGTGGCTGCGGGTCGATTCGCTGCGGCATCTTCCCGTGGGCTGGAACCCTTTCCCTGCATCAGCCCCCGGGCCCCGCAGTTCCCGCCAGGAGAATGTCTCCCTTTGATTGTTCCCCGCTCCCCACCTCTCCAGCGCTCCGAGAAGCATTGCGCTTCTTTTATCTATCTTGTGTTCTGCATCTCGCCTGCAGAAAAACAAATATGATTTGCTCTCGGGTAGGGCGGGCACGGAGATACGGAAATGTCACGGTGTCCTGCGGTGCACAGAACGAGGACGGAGAACTTCTGCATGGTTCTGAAATGGCGCTTTGATTGGGAGATTGCTTGGCTCCGGGCTTCTTAAAGGCGAGGAGTCTCCCTTCCGTGTAAGGAAGACAGACAACCCCCCCCCCCGATTATTAGCTACTAATTCTGTTTTGAGCCAGATAAATGAGCAGAACGGCCACTCGATGTCTGAAAATCAGCGCTTTTCTTCTCTGGATGTTTGAGATCAAGTCTGGAGGAAGGGAAGCCTGGACATAGAGACATAGAAAGAGAGCGAGTCAGAAGGGGCCTCCTGGGCCATCTAGTCTGACCCCCGGCTCCAGCCGGCTCCACTCACGACATGCCCACCATGTGCACGTCCAGCCTGTCCTTGAACACCCACACTGATGGGGCCTCAACGACCTCCCGTGGAAGCCCATTCCATGCCCTCGGGGTCCTGACTGTCAGGAAGTGCCAGGGTCCTGGGTGATCTCTCCATAAAACTGCTGAGGTTCATGGCGAAAGGGGTCTTTCCTGACTGAACCCGGGTGTCCTGCCTCCCAGCTGCCATCGAGGATTCCCGACAAAGGCAAGGTGTCTTGGAGAAAACCCTCATGCCCAGGGAAGTGAAAGGCAGCCGGAGCGGAAGACCCAATAAGGGCTGGAGGGACTCCATGCAGGAAGCCACAGCTTTGAGGTTGCAAAAGGCAATCCCAGGGTCGCCGGAAGCGCGAGGCGACAGCACAGGAAGTCATGGCTCACTCGCAGCAGGACGTCGGGGTCCCGCCCTCCTTACCTGCAGCAACTTACCTCTTCGTGCCTCTTAGGCAGTCCGCCTCCCTGCCCCAGGCGAAGGTGCGCAGGGGTGATTCTAATCATTCCGATTGAGCGTTAAAAATGTACATGGGTGCACACAGATTTTGTGCTTATGCATTAGTTCTGGACCCTCTGCAGGAGTTTTGTGAGAAATTTCACAACCAGAATCCTCAGCTAGGGGTGTGTTAAGGCTTTGAATCTTCTAAACCTAAATAAAAGCGAACTGCTCCGGCAGCAGCCGGTCAGCCACCTGCGTGTTGCAATTGTGGCTGCGATTTTCTCACCCACGGCTGCTGAAGCCCTTGCGTGAAAAGGAGGGCTCTTGCAGCGGTGTGCGGAAATGCCTTGGCTTTTCGTGGCATGCTCGCTCGCTCGCTCGCTCACTCGGTGTTTAGCCACTACAGTGCTATAGTGCTTGAGAGGGAAATGCAAGGTTCAAATACTGTGCCTGTTTCCTCAGAAGTAAGAACTTTTCTTCACAAGGCTGATAATCGCAGTAACTGCTTTTGGTTTAGTTAGAGAATTGGGGTCCCAGCTTCCAACGAAAAAGCTTTTCCTTTCTCGCTTTTCTGCTAGATTTCCTCTAGGTGGCACTGTGCCACGGTAGCATCTTGCAATTTTGCAAGTGAAGAAAACTTCTTTTGCTTTCAGAAATAATACCTCATTCTCCCCACTCTGACAAAAGCCCTGAGGAAGTGCTGATTGAAAACGGGAGTGAAACTGGTGGGCCATGACATCACCTAACGAACCCATAAACAATGGAGAACACAGAATCATGAGCACGTATTACTTACCCCTGTAGGAAAGGTCAGTGTTCAGTTGACTTGAATGGGGATTACCGAAGTAGGGGTAACATGCAGGATTCAGGATGAGGCACCCGTCTGCACCTATTTCTTTCTTCTACATTCTTTGCAAAAGCGGGGCAACTTGGGGGTCCTATTTCATTAAATGGAGGAGAAAATGGAGAGGAGATAAAGGCACAGGGGCAGGCCCCGAGGACCCCCAATATCCACATAGAGTAGTTTGGACAGAAAATTCCCACAATCCTGCATTCCCTGCTGGTGTGAATGTTTATGTTATCGGAACTTTTGTACGTGTTTTAAATTTGCTTTTAAATTGTGCATGGCAGACTTGCTCTGATGCATTGCAATGTGCTGTGTTTTATACCGTATTTTAATGTGTTGTAAACTCCCCACCAAGCTTTAGCTTTGGGTCATGTAGAAGCTAAATGAATAAGTAAAATGAATGACTAGCTCAGGCTTTGTGGCCTCATGTGCTTCCGGCCAGGAACTAGCCTTGCGAGAGATATTGCAGGCTTTTAGGGTACAGGGAACTGTGAAAAAGCTGGAAAGCCAGCGAGGGCAAGTGGCCAGAGAAAAGGGGTGGAGCCAGTGGAAGGCTGTTGCCATGGGGGGCACCCCAGCGGGTCCAACTGGGACCACCAGCCCAAGGTTCACTATCACGGTCAAAGGGCTTTCCAAGATGATGGGCTGTTCGATGGGGCTGTGGATCGGCTGCATCTGCTTTGCGGCAGAACTTCTGAGCACAACACAAAGAGCGTGTCTTTCCCTGCTTTTCCACCACATGACCACTAGGTGGCAGTGTGGCGCAGTGGGATAGCAGAAAAAGCACTTTCTTTCGCTTTCAGAAATGCCACCTTTTTCCTGTTCTAAAAATAATTCCCTGAAAGTTGAAAAACGGGAAAAAAACTGGAGGAACATGACGTTGCCCAAAGAACCCCAAGGCTACTGTGACAAATGAGAAAAGTGCGCAAAAGCGTCCTGTGCAGGAAAGGTCAACGGGTCCCAAGTCCCCACACAGAAGGCGCCATAAATCGTGCGTCATCGCATATTCCCAAAGGAGATATTTTTGGATAGACCGTTAAGAGGCCCCACATGCTTCCTGCTGAAGTTGCTTCTGACCATGTCGCCGAACCGGTTGCCCAGTGGTGGGCATAAGAAAGGGGGCACGCGGCGCTGTGGGCCTGCCAGAGAAGGAGAAGGGACCGGGTGTCCTGGGTTCCCTTCGTGGGCCTGGGCAGTCCACTGGAGAGCAGACGCGAGCACGCCCATGCTCAGCAGATCGGAATAACCGTGCGTGGCGGAGCCTTCCACTCCATGGAGAACCCCGCCTGTCACAACACATTTCTGTCCTCATCACCGCTCCCGCTCCGCCTTGATGAGCCGCAGAATCGTTCCCCTGGAAAACATCTTAATGAGGCTCCCAGGGCCCGGCAGAGAGTCTCGCTCGATCGTAAAGCGGCACAGCCGTCGCGAAAGCAGGGCCAGTTTGTGGCTCCAGGAGCAAAGCGTCGAATGGGGAGGGAACCGGGCGCCGTATCCGGCCGGGAGTTAAAGTTGGACGCCCTCTTCTGGCAGCCCTGTCCGAAATCCCGGGCTGCAGACGCTGGCCTTCCCCAGCAGGTGCCACCCAGGCCGGCTGCAGTGGGGAGGCATGAAAATTTTGGCCAGGCAGCGCAGGCAAGAGCAGAGTGTGGCTCGGATCCTGGCACGTGCCTGTGCTCCGTCCCCAGTTCGAGCTGCACAGCTTCCCCCTTGCCCGACTCTCCTCCGTGCAGCCGAGCAGCCCTGCTCTCCGCGTTGGGGGAAACACGGCCAGGTGCACATTTCTCTCCTTTGACGACAGCTTGTTTGGCGCGAGTTTCCCGTCTGTGCAGAGCGAGCACAAGCCAAAACGTGAGTGGGGAAGTGTGGTGCGGACGGGGCGCTGGAACGTGACCCCCCACCACCCCCTGCCTCACGACACACCCCCTGGCGTGAATGGGTGCACCTTGACGGCGCTGCACAGGGCTGTGTGAACGGGGCCTGGGGGATCCCCCTGTCGGCCCTGTCCTTGCAGGAAGTGGCTCTGCCCACGGTGGCCCCACAGTCCCGGCACGCCCCCCGTGAGCCACTGGGCCCCCCGGGGCTTCCGCGGAGAACGGTCTGGCCGGACAATGCTGCTTCTGCAGCCGCTGCTCCTGGCATCAACAGGAAGGGGATGGAGAGCACTGCCCTGCTATCTTCATCATCTTCATCATCATCATCATCATCATCACCACCACACTGCATTTATATCCCGCCTTTTTCCTCTTGCGGGGAAGCCAAAGCAGCTTCCATAGCTCTTCCCCACTCCGTTTTTATCCTCACAACCGTAACCGCAGCAGGCGGGTTCAGCTGAGAGCCGATGGCGGACCCAGAGTCCCTCCGTGGGCGTCATGGTGGCGTGGGCACCAGCACCCGGAACTCCAGGGTCCCGTCCGATGTTCCAGCTGTGACTTCCAGCTTAAATGATGTCAGCGAGCCGCGGACAGATATGAGCTGCCGTCCCTCTGATGAAAAGAGGAATGCAGAGCAAGCTTTCTTCTCTCCACTCCACAAAAGCCTGGACTGCAGGGCGACGGCAAAGCTTGGGGCAGGGTGTCCGGTTCTGGAGCCCCGCTGAAGATGGGCATCGTGGGCTTGGAGAAGGGCCACTCCGGAGCGGAGCAGAGGAGGCGGCCTGGCCTGGGCAGGGCGAGGGAGATGGGCGTGTGGCGCTTCATGCAACGGCGCATGGCCCGGAGGGCAGCTGGGCAGGCAAGCTTCCCTCTTGTCTCCGGGGCTGGACTGTGGGATCCTCCTGGAAGGCCGCATCCTGGAACGCTCAGGACAGGCGGAAGGGCCAGGCCTGCTCTGGCCGCACCGCCATGGACATGGGATCCAGGCCTCCAAGCCAACGGTCATGGTTCTGTTCCAGGGCCTCCTAAAATTATGACTCTCCGGGAGCCCCCTGACCCTCAACCCGACACTGCCGGGACGCAGGGCCCTCCTGTTGCTGGCATGGCGGGCGACACTTCGTCCTGCCTCTTCTCGCCAGGCCCACAAGAGCTTTCCGGTGGAGGGAGGCAGAAACCCTTCGAAATGGCAAATCTGCCTGGGGGGGGGGGGGGGGGGGCTTCACTGCTAAGCATCTTCCAGCGGGTGTGAGAACTCCAGGCTCAGCGAGAGCATTTCTGCCGCCCAGGCTCCCCTCAAACAATAAACTGAATTGGAGAATAAATAAATGGGCAAATGAAGCTGTTTATTTCTGCATAGAAGGTTTAGTGCCAGGATAAATCTTGGGTGACGCTCAAAGCTGCCGCTCGATTTCCACCTCCGCCGCGGGAGAATTAACCGCCAGCCGGGTGCCGCAGCTGCTGCCGGCAATCGAGCGCATTTAGCAGAGTCGTTTGGTGGGAGGCGAAGGCGCAAACCCTCGTTTGTTCATGGCTCGTGGGCCTTTGAGGAACTGGATGCAAATGGATCCGCGGGAGAAGTTGGGGCAGGACCCATAAGCCACACACACGGTGCCTGCCCCCCTGCCTGCTTCTCCTCCCTCCTCCCTTCCTTCCGTCCTTTCATTTTTTGGTCGTGCAGAATAGAAAGAGTTGCGGTTCCTCAAAATGGGGAGGCTTTGGAAGGGCAGCATCCTGCCCAACAACTTCTGCTCTGTTGGTGACACATAGGTACATGAGCGGGTGCCACACAGAGGTGGGGAGAGACCTGTTCTCCCCTGCAGAGGAAGGCAGGACGCGCTGCAACAGAGCAAAGCTCAGGGAGCCAAGGTTCCATTTGGATGCCAGGAAGCACTTTCTGACAGTTAGGACCCCCAGGGTGTGGAATGGGCTTCCTCGGGAGGTGGTTGAGGCCCCATCGGTGAGGGTGTTCAAGGACAGGCTGGACGTGCACATGGTGGGCATGTTGTGAGTGGAGCCGGCTGGTGCCGGAGGTCAGACTAGATGACCCGGGAGGCCCCTTCTGACTTGCTCTGTTTCTATGTTTCTATGTGTGAACAGACAGACCTTTCTGACCAGGTGAGGGGATGTCACATGGAGGTGGGGAGAGACCTGTTCTCCCCTGCAGAGGAAGGCAGGACGCGCTCCAGCGGAGCAAAGCTCAGGGAGGCAAGGTTCAATCTGGATGCCAGGAAGCACTTCCTGACGGTTAGGACCCCGAGGGTGTGGAATGGGCTTCCACGAGAGGTGGTTGAGGCCCCATCGGTGCGGGTGTTCAAGGATAGGCTGGACATGCACATGGTGGGCATGTCATGAGTGAAGCTGACTGGAGCCAGGGGTCAGACTAGATGGCCTGGGAGACCCCTTCTGACTCGCTCTCTTTCTATGTCCAGGCTTCCCTTCCTCCAGACTTGATCTCAAACATCCAGAGAAGAAAAGCACTGATTGTCAGACATCGAGTGGCCGTTCCGCTCATTTATCTGGCTCAAAACAGAATTAGTAGCTAATAATCGGGGGGGGGGGGTTGTCTGTCTTCCTTACACGGAAGGGAGACTCCTCGCCTTTAAGAAGCCCAGAGCCAAGCAATCTCCCAATCAAAGCGCCATTTCAGAACCATGCAGAAGTTCTCTGTCCTCGCTCTGTGCACCGCAGGACACCGTGACATTTCCGTATCTCCATGGCCGCCCTACCCCAGAGCAAATCATATTTGTTTTTCTGCAGGCGAGATGCAGAACACAAGATGGATAAAAGAAGCACGATGCTTCTAGGAGCGCTGGAGAGGTGGGGAGCGGGGAACAATCAAAGGGAGACATT